TCATAGGCCATTTGCCTAGCATCTGCTGCGTCCTAGTCCCTGGGCTGAGCTGGGGATGGGACGGGGAATGGCTTACTTTGCTGGGGGAAGAGAGAGACCATCCCTTCTTGGGTCCAACCTAGAGCTTTCTTCAGGAAATTCTGAAGATCTCCATTGGTCTCTTCCCTTTTTATTTTTGGTGAGATATGGTCTTACTCTGTAGCCCAGGCTTGCCCAGAACTTACTCTGTAGCCCAGGCTAGCCTAGAACTCACTGTGTAGCTCAAACAGACCCAGATCTCACTTTGTAGCCCAGGGTGGCCTGGAACTCGCAGAGACCCCCTTGCTTCTGCCTCCCAAGGGCTAACCCAGCAGGTCTAGCCTCAGGTCTCTTTCTCTACCCCCATGTCTCTATGTGGGAGATGTACCTCTTTAGCGGCAAGTTTGCCTCCCACCCACCAGTTCCCAAATAACCACTCTGAGGCTTCGTATTAGTTATAATTGTTTGACCAATGGCTCAGGCATATTACTAACTGGCTGTCACAATTAAATTAACCCAATTCTACTAATCTGTATATCACCACGTGGCTGTGTCTTACAGGTAATGTTCTGGCATCTTACTGCTCTGGTGCCTACATGGCATCTCCCAGACTCTGTCATCTTCCTCCCTGTATCTCTGCTTGTATTTCCCACCTGACTCCATTCTGCCTGGCTATTGGCCAAATTAACCAATGCTAATAAAATATATTCACAGCATACAGGAGGGCATCCCACATCGTAAGTCTGTTACAGAGTTCTGCCTAGCATGCGGGAAGCCCTGGGTTCCACCCCCTAGTACCACATGGACTGAGAATGGTAGCTCACACCTGTCATCCCAGCACCTGGGAGGCAGAGGCAGAGGCAGAGGGTCACCTTCAGCTATATAGCAAGTTTAAGGCCAGCCTGGGCTACATGTGACCCTGCTTCAAAACGGGGGAGATGGACAATGGCATGTCTCAGTGGGTAAAGGTGTTTGACACCAAGCCTGACTCCCTGTGTTTGAGCCCCCAGGACCCACAAAATAGAAAGACAGAGCCAACTCCTGAAAGTTGTCCTCTGGCCTCTGCATGCATGATGGCACACACAAGCCCACACATGAAATTATATATATATATAGTCTAGAATTTCTATCTCAGTCAGATAACAGTTCCTCACTTCTCAACTTGTTGCAAACATTTCTTTTATTGCTCAGGAGAAACAAGACCTGGGCACAGAATTCACAGAGAAGAACTTGCTGATGACGGTCACCTACCTGCTGTTTGCTGGGACGATGACCATCGGTGCCACCATCCGCTATGCCCTCCTGCTTCTGATGAAATTCCCTCAAGTGCAACGTAAGAAACTGTCCCGACAGCCAGGCCCCAGGAACCCAAGCGATGGTTCCAGAGGACAGAACGTGCAGGGAGACGAGAATGAGCAAAGGGTTTGGGGTTCCCCAAGTGGTGAGGGAACTTCCCATCACAGTCCCAGGTAGAGTGAGACACGACATGTCTGTGACACTTTGTCACCTTTATCGTTTGTTTGCCTTGACCCCAGTCACGGGGAGCCACAGAAGGACCTTGGAGCAGGGAAGACATAATTAAATTTACATTTATTGATTTATTGATTTTTGAGATAGGGGGTCTTAGTCTGTAGCCCAAACTGGCCTGCTAATCACTGTATAGCCTAGGCTGGCCTCTAACTCAGCATCCTGGCTCAGCTGAGTTTATAGTTGTGAATGACCACACTCTGCTTAAATCTGCATGTTAGAAAATCATCCAGCTGCCAGGACCGGATGAACTGACTGGGGCCGTAGCTCAGTAGCAGAGCTCTTGCCTAGA